AAAAAACCCTCTTCTTACAACATTCAATTAAAAATGAAGACAAAATGAGGCTGTTTGACGACTTATTTTCTTGTGAGCTTGCTTTCTTTTGTAACATCTTAGAAAATGAAGCTGCAGCTTCTGATTCATGCATTCAGCCTGTAATTTCGTCTTGTACAATTACTGTCTAATATTCCCTTTTGAGTGTGCTTGAATAAAATAAAAATGATGGTGCCATGAAAGATTTATGTGCTTATGGAGACTAATGGTTGCTGTTACTCTTTTTGCATTTGTACAGCTTGCGAAGCTGTCATATTTACAAAGTTTTGACTAATTAAAAAATTGGACGAGTGTTTGTTAGGCTGCTCTTTTCCTTTTATTTTCTTCTCACACGTCTTCCAATAAGCAATAAGACACCTCATTATGCCTCCAAGAAGTTGGTAGCAATTAATATTCATTTAGATAAATTGATTTCCAGAAATAAAGTGCCATCTAAATATATCAATAAAGTCAGCGACTGATGATTCCTGTGGGATTTCATATTGCCTGAAAGCTGTGCAGCTTCATTCTTCAGTTTACTGTTTAAGTTTTCTGCAGATTTAATGAACCAGTCAAAGCGGGCTGCCTGCTGCACCCAGCTGGCCTGCTTTAAAACAGACCCCAGTCAGGCTAATCACCCCTCCCTCCTCTCCTGAATTCATTCATACAGTTAGGGAGCCACACTGACAGCAGCAGCGAAACTTCCTGCATAGACTACCTATAAAGCTGCACTAATAAATTCCCACAGGAAGGCTTTCCACTCTGTAATTTGTTTACTTGCTGCAGAGGCTCTAAAGAGTAGCAATACTCTTAAATGCACTTATAAACACACACACACACACACATACGAACATATACACACACATTATTGCCCCTGAGAAAGACTTGAGAGTGGTACTCAGGGAAGAATAATTATAGATGGCATTGCATTTCCTGCTCTGCACAGTGAGCAAGCAGTGTTTAGCCAGGAGGGTCCGCTTACTGCACATGTTTACACCGTGGCACTGTTTGGCAGCAGCGTCTGATTATTGTAGTGTTTCTGAAGTCAGCGGAGGAGGTACAAAAGTGTGGCGCTGTGGGGCCTGTTTCATGCACCTGTAGCCTGTTTCTTTAGTATGTTTCCCCCACTGAAGCTCAATGACGTTCACATTTAGGCTAGCTGATACCAGAACTTACAAAAGCTTTCACATCCGCTCCGCATATTGAGGAAGTTATCTACTCAGTATATCTTCTTCCGTTTTTTTTCCCTAGCTCTGAGTGAAACTGCATGAAGGCAATGGCGTGCTGTTTGTTATTGACTGTTAGCCTGAATATATGTGTAGTTACTGCATGGTTATGCATGGAGTGCGGCTCTCCCTGTACCTGGAGCTGTTGTATTTTTTTAAATGTTTTTACAGAGAATAGGTTGTAATTGAATATTCCTCCCTGAGCCGGCTGTGAAAGCTCATTACCTGCCCCTCCGCGCCAAAGAGTTGAGGGAGAGAGAACAGGGACCCTCAGGGAGAGAAAAAAAAAAAGAGATTGATTCAGTTAAAATCTGACATTAAAAGAAAGGAAAGCTGAGATCTAGAGATCCAGATGGATGACTTCTAGTTCGAGTGTTGCTCCACCATAAGCTGCAAGACCAGCTTCAGCTTTATGAAACGTTTTAGTCAAGGACTTTCTGCTGACATGTAACCTTCTCCTGGAGGAGATGTGTGCAAGTCTTCCTGTTGTTTAAGTGTTGCTGTGCTACTTATGTGTTAGCAGTCAAACTAATCAGAGCTTTTCACATCCATTATGTGACACCAGTTCTGATATCTAGACCTCGACAGCAGTGCAACACATTCTAAATATAAAATTGATGGAAATCGATTGCTGACATGTTGCTAGCTTTGACGGACATTTTACTTTCTTATACCAATTTTGCACTGATGTTGAATGTAACCTTTAACTTACCTGAAACCAGTAGCCTATAACGGTTGGCTGTACATCAGTGTATCGACGAGCAATCTCTCAGATAGCGGACACAGCATTTTTAGCATGCCGCGTTTCAGAACAACTAGTTCCAGTTCCACTTTATTTTTGTACCATTCCACCCAAATCCATGTAACATTCATGCAGTGGAACGAAATGGCATTACTCTAGAAAAAGAAATCCGGTGGGCTGAGTCGAATAACGTCACCTTCCTCTCCCCTCCCCCTGCCGGCATCAGTCTCGTGTTACTTTGGCTTTTAATTAGTGTAGCTCTACGGATGAGTCTTGTACCATTCACTTCACTTGTGAATCAAAATGCATTGTGCAAAGTGCTACACATTTCTGCTGCAATTTTATTTTCATTTTGGTCGTTTAAAAATGTGATTTGAAGTTTTAAAAAGACTTCTAGATATTTTTTCTAAACAAAGTATAACGTTGTACATTCAGCTGTACTCATGTTTAACCGATCTCGAGTGTTTTATTATTTAATATTATTTAATAGTTTACTTGTCTTGATTAAACTCGATTTAAATGTCAGAGAAGTTGGCCTGTAGGTAACATGTTAGGAAGAAAATGGAGAGAGAATTGAGAAAGCAATGGAGGATGGAAAAGAGGGAGGGAAGCAAACAGTGAATGAAAGAAGTGCAGGTTGATGACGAGAAGAGAGAGGCAGAGTTTACCTTGTTTAATTGAAGCTAGTTCAGTGCCTCTTGTTATTCTGGCCTTGTACATTTCTCCACTGTAAGCTGTGCAGAGAGACATCGACAGACACAGTGATGGAGGGAGGGAGGGAGGGAGGGGAGGTAGAGGAGGGGAGGGGAGGCAGAGATTGCTGCAAAGAGAGAAAGACAATGTGATGTGACATGGTTGGAAAAAGGGGATGAGGTTGGGGGGGTTAGAGCTATCTTGTAGGAGTTATCAGGTTAAGCCTCCCACCAGCGGCTGTCGCCATGGTGATACCATGGTAACACCATGGTAACAGCCAGGTGTTTAACTAGGAAGGAGCAAGGCCTTGCTTATGTAAAGGTGCTTCCTGCTCTCATTATTTCTGACTCCCATCTGTCTCATTCAGATTCATTCTCAGGTTTTGTTGTGAGAGTACATTCTTTTATAAACAAGCGTGTCAATCCGACATTCAACAAATGCATGATTTATGATCAGTTCGCATTCAGTCTGTAAATAGTCCAATCATACTGAGTGTAGGAGTGTTGATAATTCTGTGATCAGTTGGAAACAAGAGGTCAGTATTCTCTGATTCCATCTTTTGAAATGAATTTCTTTATTTTCCCGTGAGAAGGGGGAAAAAAATACATTGATGTCTTCTTGAGTTTATCACACATGGAGATTTGTTTTAACCATGTTCTAATATTTCATAAGCCAAACATCTAATGGAGAAATGGATCACGGGTTTGTTGACAATGATAATAAATGTTAGTGTCAGACTTTTTGCTTGTTTGTTTACAGTGTTTTTATGGATGACGGTGACACTGTACATGTGATCTCTCATAGGCAGATTGTAAACTGTGTGATTGACGGCTCACTGTTGAGGTCAATGTGTGAACTGGCCTAGCTGTTTTAAAAAAACTATATACAAGTGTGTGTGTGTGTGTGTGTGTGTGTGTGTCTGTCTGTCTATGTTTATGTTTTTGTATGGATCTTACATTCTTAAACCTATAAGCTGATTTGATAACGGGCTTACACAGATCTATGTCACATCCACGGGCGTTAGCTCTGTTACATCACTGCAGCCGCCTGTGTGTGTGTGTGTGTGTGCGCGTGTGTGTGCGTGCGCGCGTGTACGTGCGTGTGTATGTTTAAATGTTTGTGTTTGTGTCACTCAGCTGAGTGGGTTAGAGTGGGTAGAGGGCTAACAGACGTTCGGCACATGGAAACACCCTAGGAACAATGACACACACGTGCTTGTGCCATGCGGGAACTGCAGGCGAGACACACGAAGCAAAGGCGCCGAGACACACACGGGCACCCACGTAGGCATGCACACATGCACTCACACATACACACGCACTCACGCATGCAAACACACACACATACACAGACTTTGCTCAGAATCAAATTTAATTAATAAGCAAATGAATAGAAATTCATTTAAAACATCACACTGTTTATTGTGTATGTTGGTGATTTAGGATGAAAGAAGAAAAAAATCTGTGTGGGACTAAGTTCAGCAAAGTAAAGCTAATCAGATGTAAACAGTGAGTTTGTTTAATGCCTCCTCTCAGAAGTTTGGGTGACACGTTCTTATTGTTTAATTGTCATTTTAACTGTTCAGTGGCTCGCTGTAACCTCTGTGCAAAGGGGATAGAGGACAGATGTCTGCTCTATCAAATGTCACTCATTGATTAAGTACATTTGTCTTTCTCACTGACTCCTGGTATACGCTTTTACCGCAGGTTTTACATTTTCCAGCAATTTGTAGAAGTGGTTCTTGGTCGGGTTATTTTAGCACCACTTGAGCCAAGATTTGTCTCTCTCATTCATAAATAATTGTCAGACTTTACTTTATGTCTGAAAGTAAGGGTTTAATAGTGTGCAGGAAATAATCCTAAAAATGCATAACAAAATAAAAAACTTCCAAAAAATCCACAAAATTAACCTACGTTTAAAATCTACATTTAAAGAGGTTATTGAAAAATGTAGATGGCGTCTATATTTGGAGTTTATATGGAGAAACCCAAGAAGTTGATGGCAAATGATCTTGTTTGAAAGCTTTAACGATGATGAGGTGACAAATGGCTTGTAAGCAGCAGAATACTGAACCAAAGAAAAATAAAAGGAGAGTAAGGCAGACATGAGAGGAGAGGGGGAATAAGAGGAAGTTGTGGAGACAGATGGTAGTTGATCCAGCGGAAGGACGCTCCTCAGGGTCCTCATATCCTACTCCTGTTTCCTCTTAAATAAGTGAACTAGGACCTGCATGCCTCCTGATTTGAATGTGTTAATCTAACATATGAGACAGTAATGCGTCACTATAATGTTTCTCATGTTTTTCTTTGTCTGTGTTGCAGATAAACCTGCGGCTTATTTTGGTCAGCGGGAAGACGAAAGAGTTCCTCTTCTCTCCCAACGACTCGGCAGCGGACATCGCCAAACATGTTTATGACAACTGGCCAATGGGTGAGTAGGTGCACTGAGACACCTCTGTTTGTTACCAGCAAAGACAGCAGACAGACAAGCAGCTCTAACTTCATTCAAGTATGTAAAAGGAATAAAATAACAATCAACCTCAGATGATCCAGGCATTTATCTTTTTTGGGGAAGCATATACAGGTCACTCACCCTCGATTTAATCGTTACGTTTCTAAGTTTTAATTGAAGTCTCATAGGCCAATTTTAACAGTGATATTTGGATTCTGATAACCGAGTGTTATTTCCTCACCACATTGTGCATAAATAGAATGTTGTCGTCTTTCTTTTGTAATTGATCACTCTGCATACACTAATTGCTAACAGTTTAGCTGCTAAAGAACCTGGACAGCAGGTGTTCTGACTAAGCTACGCCACAATTTCTATAACACAAACAAAGGCAGATAAAAAGCGAGATGAAAACCAAACCCTCTGATAATGACTTACATGTAGGCGTGTGTGGCTGTGAGGGAGTGTGACAGTCTTTGCTGATGAATAAAAGTGAACTCCTTGTTTCGGCCTGATTATCATTGCATACAGGAATGTGGGATCGCAGTACAGCCACCTCTTCTCTGTAATACACCCACTCCCTACATGCTGCTTCCTCAGGGTCGACCTTACACCACCTTCAAATATTAACAGACTGTTGCTTTTTCCCACGATGCTCCGACTGTAGTCTGGTTTATGGGCAGCCCACAGTGCATGAAAAACTATAAATTACGCTGACGGATGCAGATTCTACTTTGACAAGAGGACTTTTCCTTACACTCCAGTCAGTTTTGGAAGCGCCCCGCGTTCCTCCCAGACAACAAGTCTGAACCCTGTGAGACCCGGAGCAGGTTCTCCGTCAGCAGCAGCAACACCCTCTGCTTAGCCGGACACAAACATCTGGCGGCCAGGCTCTGCTGCCGTCTCTGTTTTTCTCTGTCAGTTAATGCTCTCACATTTGTCCTCGGCTCTTCCCAAGCCACACCTTGCATTCTTCAACTCTTATATTCTGTAATCCATTCCACAAAGCCATCTTATTATACATTCTGCATAAATTATCTGAAATTAAGGCTCTTAGATGTCTTAAAATATCTTCAGTGCGGTTGTTGGTGGCCTTTTTATTTCACCATACAAATCTTTTCACCACATCGTTAACCCTTCATTTATGTAGTGGTTTCAAATGTAAAGCTTTTCATCATGAACTCAGACAGAGCCCTTTGAAGAGTTGATGCATTTTGTCCCTTAAAATTGCGAATCTATTGTCTTTGACCTTTCAGTAGCAATATTTTATTTAAAAAAACTTCGTTAGGGGGCGCTGGTGGCACAGTGGCTAGTGTGCGCTCCCCATGTATGGAGGCTGTAGTCCTCCAAGCGGGCGGCCCAGGTTCAAATCCAATCTGTGGCTCCTTTTCCGCATGTCGTTCCCCCCCCCCCCCCCCTCTCTCTCTCCCTGATTTCCAACTCTATCCAGTGTCCGATCTCTCCAATAAAGGCACAAAAAGCCAAAAAATGAAATCTTATTTACATCTTGGGGGCAATACAAAGGTTGAGAAATGTGATTATTGTCCCTGTTGTTTCTCAGATTTTAAATTAAAGATTGTCAATATTTTTGATTAAGGCAAGGCAAGTTTGTTTATATAGCACATTTCAGCAACAAGGCAATTCAATGTGCTTCACGCAAGACATCAAAAGCATCGAGCTGAAGGGAAAGAGAAACATTAAGCCTGATTAAAAAGAGAACAGAGAGAAATAATGTGGACATTTGGTTGCTCTCTATAACTCTCTCTTTCCATCCACCTCTTCCTTTTTTTCAGACTGGGAGGAAGAGCAGGTCAGCAGTCCTAACATCCTGAGATTGATCTACCAAGGCCGTTTTCTACATGGAAATGTAACATTAGGAGGTGAGAAAACACAGAATGTACTAAAAGAAAAGAAAAAAAAAAATCCCATATGTGCTCACGTGCACACAAAAATCTCAGCAGTGTGTTGCTGGAAAGTGCTTTGCTGTTCTCATCCCTTTCCTGCGCTGCAGAACAGAGGTACCTCAGTGCTCCGGACAAGCCTGCTTTGACTGAGAGAGAGGGAGGGGAGAGGAAATAGAGAAAAAGAGGGGAAAGAGGGTGGTCAGGAAAAGGGCAAGACTGGCGGTGGCAGTAACAGCACAATGAAGAGACAGAAAAACAGTGTGTGGGGAGGGGGGAGGGGGGGGTTATCCTTTTAGGCTTTACTTCGCCTTTGACTTTCAGGCTTTTAAGAAAACGTAGCTCAATTATTTTGACTAGTGTCTTTTCAAGGTTTGATGGCTGCCCATGAGCTACTGTCATCTATGTGATTATTCCCAAATCTTTAGTTTGACATATTTGCACACTGACACAGAATGCTCTTCATGAGGTATTTAATTCAGACAAAGTTGTTTTGATTGATACATACATAGTTTGAGAGTTAAATTAAAACTGAAATACAACATTATTCATCGACAATTTAATTAGCGATGATTCATTCAGGAAAAGATGTAACAGTAAGGGGTCAATAGAGTGTCATACTGACTCCCTTGCAGCTGAATGTACACCTTAATTCATGGCTACTTCATAAAGAAATTACATTTTGATTGTTATTTTTTACTGGAGGGATTACTGAGTGTTTTTAATAGGGAATGCAGCGGCTCGTAAACTTCTCAGAAAGGAGGAAATGGCTTTAGCTACAACAGTCAATCAGCCTCTGTGAAATAAAACATCACTTCCGTAGTGGTTGCATGCTCTAGGCGACAAAATGACCTCACAATAAAAGATTTGAGACATCAAGCCACAGTTTAGTAATTCATGATGTTGCTTGAAAAGAGTTAGCTGCTCTTTCTATTGGAGCTGGATGTAGCAGAAGTTTGACAATTACAGAGAGCTATTTAAAAAAAAGATACTGATGGTTAATGACTTTGCAAAGACCCTCATACTGTAGCTCACTGAATAACCTTTATATCCTGTCTCTCTGTCTGTCTCTCTCTGTCTCTCTCCCCTGCCAGCTCTCAAACTGCCCTTGGGGAAGACCACAGTGATGCATTTAGTTGCCAGAGAGACTTTGCCTGAGCCAAATTCCCAAGGTAACCAGCTTTCTGTCTCCCTCCTTCCTTGCAGCGGACCTTTCACACGCCAGGCTTTAAACGTTCTGCTCCGGGGGCCATTATTTATTTCTGCACATAGCTTCTGTTTTGGAACGTTAACTGGTGCAAATAATTGGCTCTCTTAAGTGTTTCCCTAAGATACAGCATGGCGTGCAGAATATACAACTAATAAACCCTCACTTTATGAGGTACACCCTGCTAGTACCTGCTTAGGTCACTCCTGTCTTTAGATTTGCCCAAATTCTTTGTAGTGTTTGTTGAACACGGTGCTGGGAGTGATTCTCTGAGATTTTATTCTTCCATGACATACTCACATACATTTGCTGCAGATTTGACGCAAATCTCATGTTCCATCCCAGCTCATATATGCTTTATTGGACTGACACCTATGACACATTTAGACCAAAGTTTAGTGAACGTCATGGCTCAAGGAACCAGCTTGTAGCCTCTGAAACTCTCAAACCATGCACCTCCAAACATTCAAAGTTCATAGTCACTAAAAACATGTTTCAATTCTATTCAAATATTTGATGTGGTCATCTTGACTTTGCTGCCACGTGATTGGTTAATTCAATATTTTGGTTAATAAGCAGCTGATGGAGTCCAATTGATATTAACAGGACAAATAGAGCATCTTTCTTTTAGCCCTCCACTTTGACTGTGTAGGATCAGTGTTTGCTATGATGATGATGATGATGATGGTGATTGTGTATAACTGTGTATAACTGTGTGTGTGTGTGTGTGTGTGTGTGTGTGTGTGTGTGTGTGTGTGTGTGTGTGGTGTGTGTGGTGTGTGTGTGTGTGGTGTGTGTGGTGTGTGTGTGTGTGTGTGTGTGTGTGTGTGGTTTTCCAGGTCAGAGGAATAGAGAGAAGACTGGGGAGAGTAACTGCTGCGTCATCCTGTAAATAAACACCTTCGCCGCTGGCCCTCCATCATTCTTCTCATCCGTTCTCAACCCCCAACATCCTGGACCTTAAGAGCTCGTCCCCTGTCCTGGACGGATATGCTTACAGACAAATGCACACACACTCTCTTCTTGTATTATATATTTTTTTCATACCCCCTCTCTGAAACTCACACTTACATAGAAAGACAGCAGGATGATCCAAGAACAGATTTGGAAGCATGAAATTGTTCAAAACTAAATGAGTTGATTCATTGTTTTGTACGTGATTTGTTGTCATAACTGAAAATGAGAGGAAGGAACTGGACTTTGGCTGTGTATTTTCTTTTCTTATTTTCTTCTTAATGCACACCGCCAGCCTTTTGTTATCCTCCTACACACACAGACAAACACAAACCTTTTCTAGTCATCCTCAGCAGGTCTGGTAAAAAGTCCGTTTCTAACTGGCTCCTCGTTCTCTAGCTGGATGTCATAATAATGTAGTGCCCAAGTTTGTGTGTGTGTGGCCTTGTTTTCTCATACAGACTGCTGAGAATTTTAACCACTAACACCCTAACATACACACACACACACACACACACACACACACACACACACACACACACACACACAGACACACACACACAGACATTCAAACACCATGGCATCCTGTCTACACATCCAACCATATGTTCCTGTGTGATCTCCCTCGGTGCAGCAGATGAAGCTTAGACGTGCCTGATCAGATAACTCAAACAAGGACACACACATACACATACAGTAGATACACACAGACGTGCACACACACACACATACACCTGTGTCCTTTTTTAACTGCCCTCCTCTGTGTGTGCCTTTAAAGGTCACAAGGGAGAACTCTTTTCTGTTTTGTCTGCAGAGCACTGTAGAGACGAAGCACGTCCATCTTTCAGTCGTCATATTTTAGCCAAACAAAGCCTAACAAACAAACAAGTAAACAGACAAACAATCCGCGGTGGTTGTCTTGTTTGGGTTATTTGTTTGTCCATGACATTTGTGACTGTGTTTTTGACAGTCCATGCATATTACTGACCGACCAGTGTTGTGATTAGAATACGTCATGTCAGTTCCCCCCTCCTCCTCCTCCTCCTCCTCCTCCTCCTCCTCCTCTCTGATAGGAAAAGCCTCCTATTTGTGCTCCTTTTATAACAGTGTTGTGAAGGATCTCTGTCCTGGCAGTTGCTGTCCAAGCAGGGAAATGAAAATGTTCCTCATTTGTCTTACTTTGCGCTTCTTAATCCCACTCTGCATTAATAAATCCATTTTGCACAATTTAAGCATGTGCTCCATCAGATTAATACAAACGTATACGAGTTTTATTGTTTTATTTTATATTTTTCAAAAGGAAGTGATGCTCCAGACAAAACTAAGGTAACGTGTAGAATATATTTAATATGAATCTTATATAGGACATGATGACTCTAGATCTTGTTGCTATACAGTATATCGGTGTGTAGTCTATGATTGTGTATACGGTTAGCTTCTAGCCTGTTCACAGTCACTCGCTGACAATGTCTTGTGCTTAGCAGCAGCAAAAAAGACCTCCCTAATCATTGACGGACTGTACTTTTATTTTCTTCTGTGCTCTTTTATTATTATTTTTTTCAGCTGTTTATAATTTAATGTAATCCCTTTTTTCTTTTGTGTGTTAATTCTTTTTTTTGTTTTCAAGAAATGCGTTGTAATAGCACTATAGATCTTTCAAAAAGAAATATTGTTTATATTGATCAGGGTTCAAATCTGTACAGAGATAAACGTTTTCAAACCAATTGTAAATAGCACTAATACTCCCTCTACCCTCTCTGAACTTTAAAATGGGATACATCTGTAAACTAAATAAAGGTTATTGAAGTGCACAGCTTCCTTTGGTCATTACATATCTCACATAATCCATCACACTGTTGAGTATCACATGAGTTTTACTGCCTTTAAATGTTTTATCAGCAATGACTTTTAAGTATTGCTAAAGGTGTAATTCAATAAGCGATGAAGTCATTAGATTAATTTATTTAATAAATGAATAAAGTAGAAGAACTTTCTGATGAGTTCACAGTCAACATGCTGAAGTGATGATGAAGTGTGTTGGTGAGTCATCAAACTCTGCTGAAAAGTCTTTAAAGGACACCCTTTGTCAGATAGTGATTGTTATTATTCATAAGGAATGAAATGCCATTTTTCTGTCTATATTGTTACAATTAATGTTCCTATACTGCCCTCTTGTGGAGAAACATGTCATTTCATTTAGTAATGAAGTAATCACGGTGATCCTTTTTGTGCTCTTCTCCTTTATTGCTGAATATGTAATGGGAATTCTCCCACCTTGACCATTTCTTTTGCGACCAAATTTTGTCAGAAATGAACTCTTATCAGGAAAACTTACATGCGAGTATAACTGGATCTCAATACGTGAAAAAAAAAAGGTTGGTTCTGTCTTATGATAAGTTTAATTTCCCATGATAGCAGAGTGAGACTGAACTTGTTTTTACAATCTCTTTTTAAAACCACCTTTGTTACTTAAATTTAAGTTGTTGCTATTTAGATTTAACCATTTTGTGTTCTGTTATTTATAGCATTGTCTTTAGTGAAGGGTTCTTCAAGAAAACCTGAAGCCCACTTACAGAACAAAGTAATTGTATTGGTTCAAATTACACAGAACGGTAGTCAGTAGTCATTACCTCAATTTATTAGTTTACATATCTTTTTATTATGCTTTGGACTTAAGTCAACACTAATGCCACAGCCTTTCATCTTTACCCAAAGCAGGTATTTTAAGGTTGTTCTAATGGTTTGGTAGTCATCATAGGCCATAACATCGGGTACGTCTTTGACATTGTTGTGTTAGAACTCTGATACAATGATATAGCATGTTATTTGATTCCACTCTTGGACTGTGGGGGCTTTGTCTTCATATTCATATTCTACTTGCCTGTCCACAAATCCTATAGTAGGATATACTTCTTTGACGCTGAACTTATACCCTTTGCTGTAAATGTTAAATATCACAGCATTGTTATCTCAGAACAAAGCCCCTTGACCTTTTCACTCCGTTTAGACCATATAGATAAACCACACACTTCTTGAATACTAAACTCACACTTACTTGCCTAAAATACATTTCATGAATACTTGAAAGCTCAGATTTCCCTTTACTTTGAAACAAACAACATCCCTGGGATCTCTCCCTCCGTTCTCTGGGAAGCATTCAAAGCTCACATAAGAGGCAGTATAATCTCATTTGGAACTCCAAAAAAGAAAGAACATAAAACAAAGTTAAAAATAGAAGACCAGATTAAATGACTAGACATTGAGAATGCACCATCCCCCTCTCCCGTTTTACACCAAAACATAGCAACACTCAAATATGAATACAACAAAATCATATCTGCGAAGATAAGTAAAGCCTTTCTTTATACCAGGCAAAAATATTTTCAATTTGGTGACATGCCACACAAACTCTTATCTACAGAGCTTATAGAAAAAATGGAAAGAAGAATGCACAGAATTAAAGCTGAAGATAATATTCCTTACAAAACATAAAGATATAAAAGACAGGTTTCTGCAATTCAACAATTCATTTAGCAGACACATATATCCAATGTGACATACATCAGAGAGTAAGCACAACATGAATGTAGAAATGTCAGTAAGTGCAAATGAAGAGCTTTGAGTCCGATCGGACACACAGGTCCTGATAGGCAAAAAGCAAAGCACAACATCGACAGCTGTTCTTGAGAGTCCTAATCAGCATCAAAACCATCCTAACATCATCACAGGCATTATCGAACAAAACCATCATCATCATTGTCATCATTCATATCATTAAGTGCGTAGGTTTCTATGAAAGAGCTGGGTCTTTAGCTTTTTCTTAAAGGTGCAAAGGGATCAAATGGAATTTGGAAGTTCTTTCCACCACCAGGGGTGGGGGGGGGGCGACAGAGGAGAAGAGTCCAGTTAGAATCGAAGGACCCTGTTGTGAAGGTTGGATCAGACGCCTTTCATTGGCAGAGCGTAGTGGGGGGGAGGGAGTGCAGACCTGGATTAACGAGTTTAGGTAAGGAGGATCCGTTTTTGTTGCTGCTTTGTAAGCGAGCAGCAGAGTTTTAAAGTTGAGTAGTAATCAGAGCCATTGTAAGGAGGTGAACAGCAGAGGTTTAATGCATTTTATTCTGGCTTGTATGTTTAAAAAATCACTCCAGAACCTGTAACTATTAAAGCATTCTTAGACAAATGTGACCTTCCCAGATTAAGCGAGGAATACTGTGATACGTTGAACTATACAATATAACATACAATTTCTGATTTTCAGAGCGCTAATTGCTTCGCTAACACACTCCTCTCGGATAGGACAACAAGATATGCTCGAAAGGACCGACTTCAACAATTCAAAAGAACATATCTTATAACTACCATTCCATTACAGCAGTCCTCACAGTAGGCTACACGCGACACAGCAACTGAGATGGTTGAAGAGTGAAGGTCTCTGTGGGTGGAGGGAGGTGGGAGGGTAGGAGATGAGTGGGATGGGTTTTTAGTTTATTTGCTTGTTTGTTTGTTCCTTATATTACCTTGTTTAAATAACACATTTGACACCTGTGTACCAGCTAGGCTATTATTTGCTATGATTATGAAGAAACAGGCAACGCTACATTATCTTTGGTGTAGTAGAGTTATATAGCCTATGTCCACTGAATAAAAGAGTGAAGTCGGCAGTGTTGGGGCCTTTCAAGTAGGCTACACCAAGAATGACTAGCGAGCTATTCAAGACGACGGAGCCCCCGTCATAACAAGCCAAAACAAAAGTTGTTGCTGTAGTTTCAAACATCAAACTTGATTCAGCATCTGTGAGATCAGATCACCACTCAGAACTACACACGCCAAGGTTAAACGTAATACTGAGTGATATCACATAAGTGGCAAGTTACTTGATGAAACATCGAGGTGTTGGGAATTCAATCTTAGCGAGACGTCGCAGTAACAGTTTGGCTTCAGTGACGTAAACAAAGCAGTAACACCGCATGTCGTCTGCGGAAGACTAAAAAGTCCTCTTAAGGACTACATTCAGTGTTTAACGTCTCATCCTCTCATCTGTGTGGAGTCAAAATGATTGTAAGTTAATAAACTAGGAGTAAAACACTCAAATAATAAGAGGGTTTGTAGACTTTCAGCACTTTTCATAGATTCAATTAACTACAATTAAGTTATTCATAGCACTAAATGGGAGATGTTTGAGTGTTTTATACCCACAGCAAAGTTGATTTGACGAGAGTTAATTTCTTAATTAATAAAGGTTGGACTGTTGAAGATGGTCCAAATATATGTCTTAAAATACAAACTGTATTTCAAACAAACAAAGACAAAAAAAACCCAGAGAAGATAAGAACACAGAAAAGACACTGATACTTTATTTCTATCAGTTCAGAGAAAGAGTAGTACAGTGATTTGACTCCACAAGGGGGCAGAATAGGGACATAAAAAATTGCAAGAAGGGAAGTACGTCTTTCTTAAGAGAGGATTTGAAAGAAGCTCATTATTCAGCTTGAATTATCGTAATTGGCAGAAGGTTCCACAGTCTGGGGGCTCTGAATGCAAAGGCCTGGTCAGTTTTGTAACAAGGCAGGATTTAGGTACAATCAATCAGCAAAGCTGCATCCATTGAGGGAATGCCCAGACACATATAAAAGACCTCTTGAATATTTGGGCAATTTAAGGCTTTAGAAGTTAGCAGTAAAATCTTAAAATAAATATGGTTAAAGACGGACAGCCAGTGAGAGAGAGAAAGCCCAGGAGTTAAATGCTGTAAATGTGGGTGCCTGTCAAAACTGCATCAGGAATGCTCTGTCTGAACTTTTTGAAGTGTAATGTGTTGGGGAAGTTCATGGTACCGTGACCGTATGGAAAATAAAAAATAAAAAACTCTTATTGTGTTTTATAGCCAATTTTACTTTGACAGCCAAAAGAGAAATCTTAGAAATCTTATATCTCTTGTACTTCCTATTGTACTAAACTGCAACTTTCAATTCAATTCTAACTGATGTCCTGCATTTCTTACAGTGGATCAAAGTGTCAGTACAGAGGTGATCCCTGACCCTCCTGAAGCACAGATCAGCAGTGAGTGTAAAACCAAAAGAGAGCTAAGTAATAACAAACCTACTAGTATCCTCTGAGCTGTGTTTATGAAAAGCTCCTTCTGTGTGCTCACACCTCAGACCTCTGGCGTTTTCGCAATGCCCAAACACATTATAAAACACGAAACGAAATGAAACACAGTGGGACACCAATATTACAGCGTTATGGATGAAATGTGTAAGTACAAAGGCGTAGTGAGGGGGAAACTTTGTCACAACGCAGCAGGGTAATCGCAGTCTGTAAGTATCTACTGACTGTTCTCCCTTTATTGAATGAAGCTTTATTGGATGTTAAGCAACAAACCATGTGGTGGGAGTTAATGAATGTACCGGATAAAAAAAACACATAAATCCCCACCAGTGAACAAAAAACCCCACCAACCTTAAGTCAAACTCAAAGAAGAAGAATCCAAACACTTAAATACATTTAAAAGTACCAACATTTGATTCACACCAGAGCTAGTTTTAAAATGTTAGGGAGGGAGTATAGACACTTTATGTTCTTTAGTGATAATGACTGTTTCCCTCGCTTGTTGCCCTTATTGTCAACCGTCTGTAGGTAATTTCTTTCCGGTCATTTTTTCCTGTTTAATACCTTGATGATAGGTCAATAATAACATGGTCTCAAATACTTATTTTAGTGACTCAAATTATTTTTAGTATTCTGAAAGTTTAAAAAAGTTTATTTTTTTCTTTTCCGCTGCCTTCATGTTTCATTGTGTGGTAAATATTTTCATGCGTCTCTGTGTGTATGAGGGAGGCAGGGAGCCTCAAACCCTCTCAGGTTCAATTAGTTAAGTTGGTCATAACAGGTTCAAGGAAGACTGTCGTCCTCTGGGAATCAGCTCGGCGCAATGAGAAAAACAGATCACGTCTTTCTCAAGGGGGAATGAGAAGTTAACAGTGACTTTGTGGTGATGTATTCTCCTGGGTCAGCCTGTAGAAGAAATGACAGACCTGTTTGTAATGGATCAAAGGAAGTGAAGTTCATTTTATCATCTATGATGGAGTCATTGAAGGCTCTGTTTACTTGTAAGAAGTTTTCTTGCAACTACAGAAAGTAATAGCATTACTACAGTGCAACTGTTAGTGTGACTGCTACAACTGCAACTGCAAATTCAGCACGCAATAATACTGCTAACAACAAAGATAAAGTTACATCTGAAATGTTCCATGTTCATCTTGAGCTACTATGACGTCATGGCAACAAGCAATGCCAAAGTGTACGGGGAAAAAAAAAAAGCAGAAATCTACAGTTGTTTATTGGTTATAAACGTGTATGGGGCGCTGGTGGCCCAGTGGTTAGAGCGCACGTCCCATGTATGGAGGCTGTAGTCCTCCAAGCGGGCAGCCCGGGTTCGAACCCGACCTGTGGCTCCTTTCCCGCATGACATTGCCCTCTCTCTCACTGCCTGATTTCCAACTCTATCCACTGTCCTATCTCTCATATAAAGGCACAAAATGCCCATAAATATATCTTAAAAAAACCCCAAAACAAACGTGTATGTAATCAAAAGTAGTTTTATAATGAATTACCATAATTGCTCTTAGTAATGTTTGAAACTCTGCTGTATACATCAGGCAGGGCTGTAAAAACTGCTATTTCTAAAATGTGTTAGAAATACCAGGCTGTTGTTGTTCTTTATAAAGCCTTATAAACCTTCATCTTATCAACAGGTGATTTGATTCTCTAAAGAGAACTTGTGCCACTGTTTTTTTTTGTGAACAAACACAAAAAAAAGTCTAATGTCTCCCGGCAGGCCTGAGGCTTTGGTTGCATTTCTCATTTTGTCTTCTTTGTTACCTGTTTCCAGAGATGTCTCTCTCTGGGAGGATGTACAAGTTCCCCAGGGAATTAAATCCATTTATCTGGCAACAATCCTACCCTACCTTAATATTTAACCCCTCAGGATTATATCCCATGTAACAGTTTGAGTTCAGAGGCATCAATGCCCTGGAGCTTTATTAATCTCGAGAGGGGGCTCTGTTATTGCTTTTGGCACAGACTGAGAGAAATTAAATTAGGAAGAATCTGCATTTTTGTCAGGAATATGGGGTGTGCTTTTATTTAACAGAAGTGATGTTTTGTCAGGTCAGATTTATTTTCTAGGTTTCATTTTAAATGGTCAAATGTTGTTTGCTGCTACTGACAAAATATTTAGCCCTCAAATGATGTTATTATCAGAGCCCGACCGATTTATCATCCAGCCAATAATATTGTCTGATATTTGCATGTCCAGTGACCATCTGAATCGGCTAATTTTATCACAGACATGCACGGATATTACTAGATTTATTCACCAGTCAAATAGCATTTCATTTGAGTATCCTAATGCAACTCGAAGTACAGTAGAAAACCCTCGGAAATCAAAACTGAGCCTGTTTTCTGGAGACAAAGTGGAACATCCAGTCTTTATGTAGCTGTCATCGTACTTTCAGTTGAGTTTAGCTTCTTTTTTCTTAGTGTGTCCACAATCCTCACTGTCCATTGGCCTTTAACAACAGCCCCCCCAAAAAAGAGTTTTCTCCTCACAAGCTCACTAACTGAAAGTGAGCTCACCCTATGGGCTCCATGCGCAGCTTTTGACCCACACGTGACCTAATCAGTCAAATGTTTTTTACTTTTGGATTCAAACTTTTACTGAAACAAAATTGATACAAATATTGTTCATTTTAACTTTAATTGAAAATAATATGCCATGTGATAGGTTATAAAAGACTGGCCATGTCCAGGAATATAAACAACAAAACACAATGCAGTACATGGCAACTGCTGTACATCCACCCTCTTTCTTCCGACTGTGTTTTCGCTGCCCTGTTCGAGCCGACCCAAGGCCCGGTACCGGTCTGGGGTCCTGTTGGTTGAAGACCCCTGCTGTATGTATGCTACACATCTGTAAGAGCAGCTTCTTTCATTGTGTTCATTGCTGATTCTGTAAATATTGAGATGATACTTGATATTAGATCTGAAGTGTTTATTCTGTTGTTCTGTAAATCAAAGAGGCTGTTTTCGCAGCATGCTGTAAATCACTTTACTTTAAATCACGTCAGTTTCAGACACTGACAATTACTATGTCAATCATATTACTACTGATGATCTCACTTGCATTTGTATGCACAGCGTGGCATCAATATGAATTTCCATCTGTTTCATAATTAGCTAAACACTTCTTACAGCGGCTTCAAGATTGAAATCTTCTAAACTAAATTCAGCTGTCAAAAAAAAATGCACACTTAATTCATGTTGACCATATTCAGATAATACAGGTTATAGAAAGTTACTAACTGTTGCAACATACCCCCCCCCCCCCCCCCCCCACCACACACACACCTCCTCTCTCTCAGTTTGGGAAACAGTGTTTTGCCAACTGTGTCATCATCCTGCATGCACAGTGTCAACAAACAACTCATTAACAGCCTCATTAAGCAGAGTTGTTGTGGGGTACAACAGGGGAGTGAAAAAAAGTTCACTTATGAACTTCTTGTGTGAAAGATGTTTACAAGTAAACACAAGTATGATTCAGCAAAATAGTATTCATAGTATGCACATTTTTAACAGCCATATAGAGATCAAAATCAGTTTGAACATGGCCGCTGTGTTGGTGATATCTGAGCAGTGCTTTCTTCAAGTTTGTTAAAATCTTCAACCACAATTAATGCAGCGTTGGCAACTATTATAGTTGTAATGATAGCTCCTAAAAAAATATTGGAAATTCATAAATGAAACACACAGTCACACCGATTGACATTTTATCATGCTCATTATGATGACATTAACCAGCGTTCACAACCTAAGAGACCCCACTTGGAGTTAAAAAAAACTATTGACTGGCTAGACTTGTGGTTTTATGGGATAAGTCAACAAGAACAATAAAGCATGTTAACATTCATGTAAATATTTCAAGTTTTTCTGGGAGAAAATTTAGCCAAAACATATGAGGGAAAATAACCTATATTTGTCCTATAAATTCAAGATTGTTACAACTTGGGACGCCGGTGGCCGAGTGGTTAGGGCGCGTGACCCATGTACGGAGGCTGTAGTCCCCGAAAGGGGGCAGCCCGGGTTCATATCAGACCTTTGGCTCCCTTCTCGCATGTCATTCCCCACTCTCTCTGTCCCTGATACCTGACTCTATCCACTGTCCTATCACTACAATAAAGGCATAAAAAGATTAAACCACTCACATCGAGCTTTTATGGGAAAGAAATGAGAGTATGTTGTATTCTTGTCTTCTGCTCTTTGTGCAAAAGCCAGTTGCCAACTTGACATTACTAAGTTAACATTGCACTTTTTATTTTTTTTTAACCATTCAGGGGCATGCTGATGTTGCTTTTTTTTTTTAAATAACTTTATAGGGCTTGAGCAGGCACTGAAGGGTGCAAGGACCCTCTTGAAACCCTAAGGATTATTATTTTATTATTAGTTTTTTCTTCCTCCTCTTTGCGCCCACTTTGATTTCAGCCAAAAATGTGTTGTGGACAGCTAAACAATATGCAGCAAACCCCCAATGAAATGACTGGGTAATGGGCAAATGATCACTGCTATCGCAAATTGGCGCACACACACACACACACACACACACACACACACACACACACACACACACACACACACACACACACACACACACACACACACACACAAACGTCCTTCAGTTTACATACTGAAATACATCACATAAATGTTAAATAAAATGGCACTAATGATGAATGGCTCACATACACTGGTCACATGGGAACATCCACTGACTGCCCCTCTTTGTAGCCACCCCAGACCAAACACTTAAAGCCTGACAGAGCTCTGTTGCTAAAAAGAGAGAATTGCTGATTTCTATCCACACACTGAAAGAGTACACAGCACTGACTGATGCAAAGAAAAGGATTCGACTTTATTGAAACCACAATGAACTTATTCAACTCTGCTCTGGGGAAGAACATCACTTTTGTGCATCCTGCTTATTTCATAATAAGCGGTTTATCTGGCATCCCGAATATCAAATATTACTATGTCTTTCTCTTTTTTGTTTATGTTGTTTCAGTGATAGGAAACACAGTTGTAATGGCTGTAATATACTTGGATCATAATCTAAGAGCACCAAAATACATAGCAGTTTTTAATCTGGCATTTGTGGACCTGTTTGGAAACTCTGCTCTGGTGCCAAAGCTTTTGGACATCTTTCTGTTTAACCATCCCTCCATACCCTACAACGACTGTTTGGTTTTCCTTTTTTTCTGCTACACCTGCCTTTCCATGCAGTCATTTAATTTGGTTGCACTCTCCTACGACAGATTAGTCGCCATTATCTTCCCACTGCACTATCAAGTAAAGGTGACCCACAGGTTCATGCTGTCTTTGATTGCCTCTTTCTGGGCATTCATTATCATTGCTGTTTTCATTGCCATTGGCCTACTTACCAGGCTCTCATTCTGTAAGTCTGTAATAATCAATAGCTATTTCTGTGACCATGGCCAGATATATCGACTGTCTTGCAATGACCACTATCCAAACTATGTCCTTAGTTGTTTGTACCCTGTTCTTCTATTCTGGCTTCCTTTTGTTTTCATCTTGTTAAGTTACCTATGTATCGGCTGTACTTTGGCCAAAGTGGCCTCGGTTCAAGAAGGACTCAAGGCCTTTAAAACGTGCATAGGTCATCTGTCTTTGGTGGCTATCTATTTCATTCCACTGTTGATCACATTTACCTTGATGGAAAACATACATCCTAATGCCAGGATCATAAATCTGTCTCTAACGTCCATTTTCCCTCCCATGTTGAACCCAATCATTTATGTTCTGCAAACACAAGAAATCAAAGAATCTGTGAAACGGCTACTAAAAATTAGAAAGAAATCTCAAATATCGAGGACAAAAATATTCACAATGTGACAGCGAAGTCATAGCTTTGGGCTATTATTCGTAGGCTATTGTCAGTGGTAAATGTGAAAGGATGAAATAAGATTATAATCATGACATAAAAGACAACTATGAATCAAGTTGTTGTTTTTTAAATGAAGGATTGAAAGATGTTTTTCTCTTCATCTGTGAAAACAGAGATAAATACATTCATTTTAAGGTCAAAGTAGATTGAAAGTATAGTATGAATCAAATAAAGATGTATGAATCAATTAAAGAGGGAGAAGTTCTTGCTTTAAAAAAAATGTGTTGTGCAATTTCTATGTAAATATCAGATTTTCCCTCTGCTTTTTTGAACACTGGAATCATTTACAGAGTAAGGGTTTTATCAGCATATTTAGGTTTTGAAGAAAAGCAGTAAAGAAAGTTTGCTATATTTTTAAATCAGTAATTATACAACAAGGGTATGGTGAGACAGTACGTGTTTCAACGTAAATAACAACCTTTATTTATAGAGCACTAATCACAATTACAAAGTGCTTTACAAGGACAGAAAGATAAAGACACTCATCATGATGAAGCGAAAGGCTGTTTGTATTACACATTTTCAAGATGAAGCATTTACCCTTAATGTTTGGATATCTTCACTTTTACCATGTCTTCAGAAAAAGTGTTTATTTGCTCATACATTAGTAGTCTTTAACATCTCTATGATCAGACCATTTAGGGGGTTAATGTATTGACTGGTAAAAAGCCTAAAACCTGTAATGAGGTGACCTTTGAGGTTATTGATTGTCACACATAATCGATTTCTTTGCTCAAAAGCCTTTAACAATCCTGTGTGGAATCTTTATTGTATCACTAATGGCAATCAGGCAGAGAAAGACAAAAAGTATTTGGAAGAGGATGTGCTGTTGTTATTGAGTGCCTCACTTTACTTAAAACAACATCATGCCATGAACCAAATATGGTTTGAACTAATGTGTTACAGACATGAACATTTCTGTCAAAGGAGCTGCTCACTGTATTTACCACCTCCAGTAACAATCTTTCAATCAGTATTACTGGGATCTGTTCCACATACTAATGGCAGATTAATTTCTGCTGTTCATAGTCAGTTGATTGATAGTCTTTAAATTCAAAACCAATTAAACTTGGTTTAAAATTTTGAGAGTACTTGAAAGTCTGTCTGAACCCTCCTAGCACCCCTAACAAATAGGGCTCTCAAAAAGGGGGTTCCTCAAGCGTCGAGTGTCTGCTTGAGGCTGACTCCAAGAACACTGGAAGGCAAATACACACAACAGGCAAAAAAAAGCCGTGTTTACAGCATAAATTAAATGTTTACAGCATGGTACCAAAAATGTATTGGGATGAATTTTTGTAAAATGGCTCCGTTTTGTTAGATAGGCCTACTGTTATCTACTGAAAGTTAGGTTGAGACACCATTTGGCGGCTTCTGCCGATGAGCCTCCAGAGCCCGTAACAGATGGCTGACGTCACTCAGGCTTCATCCATCAATGTTTACAGTCTATGATCTTACCTAACTCTCCCCTACGCTACTTCCTGTTTGGATAAAAACCTGATTTTATTTTGCAAGGAAATAAGGTGCAGAGTAGGGGTAGGTGCTTTGTCATTTTGAATTTCCCTCGGGATCAATAAAGTATCTATCTATCTATCTAGTAACAATATGGTTGTCCCTGTAATTTCAGCTAATACACAGAAAACCTGTTTTAAGGCATTACATAGGAAACATTAGTTGTCTGATGCTAAGGGCCAGATCATGATCACACCACATCCTCTCCACGTCTGTGGTAAATCCCTAGCATGTAAAAGTTATCTTACAGTTAGTCCCTATGAAAATAAAAAGAGTTTTTAATGTCGTCGACGTCGACCATCGTCCTGTTTTCCTTTCTCTCTTAAAATATCGATTCAGGCACTGTTTTACATGTATAAAGTTAGCACTGGTATCTGAAAAAACCCAAAGGATACCAAAATCCACTCTACAACTCCTAGGACCGCCTTTGCCAGACAGCAGTGGTTGAAAAAAAATGATTCCAGAAGTATGTTGAAGGCAGGTGGAAATAAAAGCTTTTCTTGCATGTGCTGAATACAAACCAGCTTCTTTACTTGGTAATTTATTGTTTATGAGGGAAGTTCTTTTACTCTTAAATTCTACTCTTCAAATTTAATGTTCTGTAGTTCTAACAATTCAGTAGAGTAATACATCTTCTCTCTACATAATCTAATTGTGTCAATTACAGGCGATTGATTAAAACAATATTCAAGCACATCCACAATTTCTATTTGGGCTTATAGCAGTATTGGGACTGAATATGTCATAAAAACGGTAAGGTGTAGTTTGTTCAAGCTCATATTTCTTTGTCAGATCTTTTGTTAGTTGATCAGGGATACAAGTGATGGAGTGGACTTGTTATCGCCAGTATTAAAAAATATTATAGACTTACACGGGTTGAAGCCAAAGGACTTTATCAGGACAACCTCAGCCTAGTCAGTCATGGCAAATAATGAGTCTGTTTCTACCTGTTTAATAAGGTTTTTTTCTTTTCCATTATTGCCATGTATTTTCTAATTGATAAAGGTCTCTGTAAAAAAATACAACAAAAATGATGATCCAGATCTTCTCCTTCATAGTGTTACGAGATAACTCTTGTTGTAAAATGGAGTTTTAAAAATGAAAATAAATACATTGATTTCTGCTCGGCTGTAGTTGTTCCAGTGGGGAGTGGATTTTGGTTGCGTTTAATATGATTGGTATTACTGTTAAGTTTTGATTTTATCTAAAGATACTGATGTGATGATGGATTGTGCTTCAACATAGATACAAGTAGAAACAACAAGTAGAAACAACAAGCTACAAAAAAATGGAATTGAAATGATTATTGAAGCGTATGTGATTCGCCTTTCTACTTTTATTTAATCTCATTTTCATAATAGATGGAATGACTTCTTGGTGGAAGTAGTTACTGCATCTCAGTTGATAGTTGAACAAAACAATGACATAAGCCCCCAAGACAGTCACACATGAGACATAAATTGGGATCTTGAGTGACAGGGCTAACTACACATCTCCTGTCTCTCTGGGACAAAGGAAACGTATAACTGTCAGGCCCCTCACAAACGGAGCCACAAGCGTGATCTACACACTTGAGTCACAGGTGAGTTTAACATATTCAGCTGTAATCAAATGGTGAAACAATGTTCTCCTCAAATGCGTGTTTTGTTTCTACATCTAGGGAAACAGGCGTTCACAATGGGTCCAGAAGTAAGAGCTGCCATCATATTGAATGCCACATTTGTTCGTCCTGCAAAGTTCTATCTCAATGGGTTCGCCAACATGCCTCATGAAAAGTATTACTATGTGTTTTTGTGTTTTGTCTACATCATGACTGTTCTGGGGAACGGCCTCCTTCTCACAGTCATTTACCTGGTGGAGGCTCTGCATACTCCTAAATACATGCTGGTGTTTAACCTGGCTTTCGCTGATTTGTGTGGCAGCACTGCTCTCATCCCAAAACTCTTAGAAACATTCTTGTTTAACAAAAGGTACATTGTCTACGAGGCGTGTTTGAGTTATATGTTCTTTGTTTTATTCTTTGCAAGCATGCAGTCATGGACACTTGTCACAATGGCCTATGACAGATTCATTGCAATTTGTTTTCCTTTAAGGTACCATAGTATTGTGACTAAACCAGCTATTGGCTTAATGCTTCTGTTTTCATGGGTTTTTATAGTGAGTATTATCGCGCCCATTATTAAGCTCATTGATCGCCTCTCATTTTGTAGATCTTTGGTGATACAGACTTTTTTCTGTGATCACTCCCCTGTTTATCGTCTGGCTTGTAATGACACCTCTATAAATAACATTATGGCATATGTTGCTTTTCTAACATTTATTTGTATTCCTTTTGTATTGATAGGCTTGACATATATGTGTATTTCAATAGCACTGAGCAGGATAGCATCAGGACAGGAACGACTCAAAGCATTCAAAACTTGTAGCTCTCATCTGATCCTTGTGGCAATTTTCTACCTACCATTATTTGGCACCAACATAGCGACAGTGACGACCAACCTTCAACCAAATGTCCGAATGATTAACTCCTCTCTGACACACACCATACCAGCTCTTCTCAACCCAATTATCTACTCTTTAAAGACAGAGGAAGTGCTGAGCTCTATCAAGAAGCTATTGAACAGAAAAAGAATTACTAACACAACTAAGAAATTGTGACCTCTTCATCACTTCCATAATGTCTTGTTTAAGGAGTGTTATAGTAGCATTGTTCTGTTTTTACTTTTTATTCTAAACTCTTACATAAGTGCTGTAAGTATATTTTCAAGGATTTTTTTTAATCATGTGCTGTTGCTGTAAAAAAAAAGGGGCATGATATGCCTTGTATTTCACAAGAGGTGATTCTGTGCCAGTACAATTGTTGTTGTTTCTGCGTTCCGTTTATCATACCAATTATTTTGGTCAAATATCCACTACTTCAATTTCATTAATTACTGTTTTACATTTTTGAAAATTGTCCAAGATGTAATAATGTCTGTCTTGAGAGTTGGACCGACATTTGACTGTGAACAGGCCCCTGTCTTGTCCAGTTCGAGTCCATCAATCCACTGGAACTTGAGGTCAACCTTTTAGAACTAATTTGATGTCAATCCATTGTTTTAGTTGATATTTGAGGAAAAAAGCCTAATATTATACTGCTCCTGTTCCTTATTTATTTTGAATGCTTTTCTTTGTCATATATTATAATAAACTAAATGTCCTTCGGTTTTGAGTTTTGGTTGAATAAAACAAATTATATCAATGCATGCCCATTGTTTCATTCAAATTATTACAAAATGCTCTCTGATTTTTCCGAAATGTCATAGATTAATCTTTTATTTTATAAGGAAAAAGAGAGAAAAATTCAGAGTTTTTGAAAGAATGCGATGTGTATAAATGTGCAACACAAAACAAAGATAGATATTTAAGGGGACCTATGCATTCCTCATTAAGCATGGCAAAATCAACTGAAATCACAGCAAAATATTCATACAACATTTTATATTTTTGCTAATTATTAATCATACGCTACATGCTGGTCACATTGGCTGAAGTGGTGTACACTTCAACATAAGGCTGGGTGAAGAAAAATGTTATTACCAAAAAAATGTCATATCAGTCAAAATCAATAATTTGTCACAATACTGTAAATGTCATATCAATATTTCTTTCAAATTTAAAGGCTGTTTTTTGCTCCTGAGTGAGAGTTTCCATTCTGTTCCAATCGTCTGTAAGCCTGCCTACCCATATCCCTGTGACATGATTGTCGTCTTTTTCTTCTCTTTATTGTCAGGTGGCAGCTAGTGTCACTTCAACATGATGCAACTTAACAACAGCTTTTTGAGCTTCATATCATCATCCAATCTTTTAGTTGATATTTAAATTAGACAACTACCTGTTTAGAGTATTTTAAGGCTACAACAAAGCACAGCAGTGCCTTGTACCAAATGCAAACATCTGCACATTATGCTCACATTAACAATGCTAGTATGCTGATGTTAAGCATATATACAATGTGCACTAAATGCTGAGCCTAATGGTTTGCTATCACTAACACTTACACAATAGCACTGAAGACAAAGTACAGCTGAAGTTGGTTTAAGTGTCTTCATTTTGTAGGTCTTTGTAACAACCCTAGATTTAAGGCAGATTCCAGAGGAGGATTTTGTGTACCTCATTCTATGGGAACTCAGCAGATATTTGCCATGAAATTTAATGACAAAATAAAGATTTTCAGTGTACTTGTGGGTCCAGAGGGAACATAAGTTGTTGGATATAAAGCCTTAAATCTAACCCATATTTGATTCAAGGTTACATATTATACTTCTTTTCAACAAGTTTCATTAAGTCTCAGGGCTCCCTAAACCATGTCTTTGAAGTTTTGTGCTCAGAATCCTCTCTGATCCTGTATTTGATCATGACTATAAGCCCCTCTATTTCAGCCCTGCTCAGAACAGACTGTTTCTGTGTCTGTAACTTTAAATGCAAATAAGCTGTGTCTGACCACACCCCTCTTTGGAAAGGCTTGGGTGACTCTGGCTTTCTGACTCCGTGCCCTGTTGTTTATGATGAAAAGGTGGACTCAGAGGGCAGAACACCTAGCTGTGGAAGTGTCACTCACCTGGGGGAGGGGTTACAATCCTTTGAGAAATCATGAAGGGGAAAATCTCCAAACGGCCTGTTTAAGCACACATTTTCTGAAAAGTGGAGAAGGCAAACAATCAAGCTGCCACCTCCAGTATTTAAAAATGAAGCCCATATGTACATGTTTCTTTTTATTTATTTAATTATATAAATATATGTTTTGTTTAATTGTATGTGTTTTCTCTGTTGTGTCTTGGGATATGAATGTAAATATCTCATGTGATCCTGATATCACTCTCCAAAAGTGTAAACTAAGTTAAATGTTATGGTATTGTTTTTGGTTTGTAAAAACTTGTAAGTATGACTCTGTGAGGGAAAGCATGAAACTAATAAAACATAATTCTAATTTTTTATTTTTTATTTTTAATTAAGCCCATATGGAAGTACAAAATCCTGCAGTTTTTTTGAGTGTCTGTTTGAGGCTGGCTGCAGGCTGCAGAAACACTGGAAGTCACATACACATCCGGTCAAAATAGCCAGTTTTTACTACAGAAGTTAACATATTTACAGCCTGGTACAAAAAACTAAATAGATCTAATTAGCTAATTAGCTAATCAGGACATACTGTACAGGGGGGATGAATTCATTGTTAACTCATCTATTTTGATTTTATGAAGGATAAGCTATATTCAGCATGGCAACAGCCATCGATGGGACTCCAAAACCTTGATAGCTTTTTTTCAGTGGTAACTGGTATTGAAAAAACACAAGAATTGATTGCCATGAAACTTCTTACAATAATCTTTTGTGATTTTGAGTGCAACATTTGAACAGCTACTAGATAGATTGCTTTCAATTTGGTGACATTTCCAATGTCCCCGACTGAATCAGTTGTAAATAATTAGTTTGCTTATGACTTTGTTCACCATCGACACAACCAACATTATTAGGCCACATTTTCATTTTTCAACACTTACATTTCTGACTAATTATGTTGCTTGTGTTTAAAAAATATGTAATGTGTCTTCTTGCATGAAAAGTAAGCTTAAATAAGTATGATGAAAATGCTAAGGCTATTTCACAAATATTTCCCCATGCTGTTGCAGGAATTGCTCACTTCAAATGAAACATGGTGTTATGTATGACATACTCACATGATCAATGGACACATTTTTTTTTTTTTATTTCAATACAAATGAATATACCTTAAAGATATCCCCTTAAACTAGCTTCATGTTGTGGAGAATATTACTATTACTGTTTAATGTTAACCACTGTATATTTGTGTTAATATTGCATATTGTATCTCAAATCAAGTTACGTTCTATATCTAGTTACATGTTTCAATGAAGTAAGTCTTTCTTTAAATCGCTCCTTAAATAAGCTGTTGTTTCTAAATCTTTCTTGATTTGAATCACGGATGTGCTGAGTATTCAGTATCCTGTAGTGAACGCTCAGCCAGTTGCAGCAGAGATGACTACAACTTAAGAACAGTAAAGTTTACTTTCTATCCAACTGCTGACCATGTGACGCTGCCCCATGCATTTCTGCTGTATAAAAGTCAGATCTCACACAGTACCACTCACTTTCATGAGGCGCACACTCGATGTTGTCTGAGGTGAGCTTGGCTCCAACATTTCTACTTACTGCGTCTACTTATTTCTACAATTTACTGCGTCGTTCTTTGTCATTTCAACAGTTATTTTTGACCTTACGTCTAGGGAAACAGGCGTTCGCAATGGGTCCAGAAGTAAGAGCTGCCATCATATTGAATGCCACATTTGTTCGTCCTGCAAAGTTCTATCTCAATGGGTTCACCAACATGCCTCATGAAAAGTATTACTATGTGTTTTTGTGTTTTGTCTACATCATGACTGTTCTGGGGAACGGCCTCCTTCTCACAGTCATTTACCTGGTGGAGGCTCTGCATACTCCTAAATACATGCTGGTGTTTAACCTGGCTTTCGCTGATTTGTGTGGCAGCACTGCTCTCATCCCAAAACTCTTAGAAACATTCTTGTTTAACAAAAGGTACATTGTCTACGAGGCGTGTTTGAGTTATATGTTCTTTGTTTTATTCTTTGCAAGCATGCAGTCATGGACACTTGTCACAATGGCCTATGACAGATTCATTGCAATTTGTTTTCCTTTAAGGTACCATAGTATTGTGACTAAACCAGCTATTGGCTTAATGCTTCTGTTTTCATGGGTTTTTATAGTGAGTATTATCGCGCCCATTATTAAGCTCATTGATCGCCTCTCATTTTGTAGATCTTTGGTGATACAGACTTTTTTCTGTGATCACTCCCCTGTTTATCGTCTGGCTTGTAATGACACCTCTATAAATAACATTATGGCATATGTTGCTTTTCTAACATTTATTTGTATTCCTTTTGTATTGATAGGCTTGACATATATGTGTATTTCAATAGCACTGAGCAGGATAGCATCAGGACAGGAACGACTCAAAGCATTCAAAACTTGTAGCTCTCATCTGATCCTTGTGGCAATTTTCTACCTACCATTATTTGGCACCAACATAGCTGCAGTGACGACCAACCTTCAACCAAACGTCCGAATGATTAACTCCTCTCTGACACACACCATACCAGCTCTTCTCAACCCAATTATCTACTCTTTAAAGACAGAGGAAGTGCTGAGCTCTATCAAGAAGCTATTGTACAGAAAAAGAATTACTAACACAACTAAGAAATTGTGACCTCTTCATCACTTCCATAATGTCTTGTTTAAGGAGTGTTATAGTAGCATTGTTCTGTTTTTACTTTTTATTCTAAACTCTTACATAAGTGCTGTAAGTATATTTCAAGGATTTTCTTTTAATCATGTGCTGTTGCTGTAAAAAAAAAAGGGGCATGATATGCCTTGTATTTCACGAGAGGTGATTCTGTGCCAGTACAATTGTTGTTGTTTTTGCGTTCCGTTTATCAAACCAATTATTTTGGTCAAATATCCACTACTTCAATTTCATTAATTACTGTTTTACATTTTTGAAAATTGTCCAAGATGTAATAATGTCTGTCTTGAGAGTTGGACCGACATTTGACTGTGAACAGGCCCCTGTCTTGTCCAGTTCGAGTCCATCAATCCACTGGAACTTGAGGTCAACCTTTTAGAACTAATTTGATGTCAATCCATTGTTTTAGTTGATATTTGAGGAAAAAAGCCTAATATTATACTGCTCCTGTTCCTTATTTATTTTGAATGCTTTTCTTTGTCATATATTATAATAAACTAAATGTCCTTCGGTTTTGAGTTTTGGTTGAATAAAACAAATTATATCAATGCATGCCCATTGTTTCATTCAAATTATTACAAAATGCTCTCTGATTTTTCCGAAATGTCATAGATTAATCTTTTATTTTATAAGGAAAAAGAGAGAAAGATTCAGAGTTTTTGAAAGAATGCGATGTGTATAAATGTGCAACACAAAACAAAGATAGATATTTAAGGGGACCTATGCATTCCTCATTAAGCATGGCAAAATCAACTGAAATCACAGCAAAATATTCATACAACATTTTATATTTTTGCTAATTATTAATCATACGCTACATGCTGGTCACATTGGCTGAAGTGGTGTACACTTCAACATAAGGCTGGGTGAAGAAAAATGTTATTACCAAAAAAATGTCATATCAGTCAAAATCAATAATTTGTCACAATACTGTAAATGTCATATCAATATTTCTTTCAAATTTAAAGGCTGTTTTTTGCTCCTGAGTGAGAGTTTCCATTCTGTTCCAATCGTCTGTAAGCCTGCCTACCCATATCCCTGTGACATGATTGTCGTCTTTTTCTTCTCTTTATTGTCAGGTGGCAGCTAGTGTCACTTCAACATGATGCAACTTAACAACAGCTTTTTGATCTTCATATCATCATCCAATCTTTTAGTTGATATTTAAATTAGACAACTACCTGTTTAGAGTATTTTAAGGCTACAACAAAGCACAGCAGTGCCTTGTACCAAATGCAAACATCTGCACATTATGCTCACATTAACAATGCTAGTATGCTGATGTTAAGCATATATACAATGTGCACTAAATGCTGAGCCTAATGGTTTGCTATCACTAACACTTACACAATAGCACTGAAGACAAAGTACAGCTGAAGTTGGTTTAAGTGTCTTCATTTTGTAGGTCTTTGTAACAACCCTAGATTTAAGGCAGATTCCAGAGGAGGATTTTGTGTACCTCATTCTATGGGAACTCAGCAGATATTTGCCATGAAATTTAATGACAAAATAAAGATTTTCAGCGTACTTGTGGGTCCAGAGGGAACATAAGTTGTTGGATATAAAGCCTTAAATCTAACCCATATTTGATTCAAGGTTACATATTATACTTCTTTTCAACAAGTTTCATTAAGTCTCAGGGCTCCCTAAACCATGTCTTTGAAGTTTTGTGCTCAGAATCCTCTCTGATCCTGTATTTGATCATGACTATAAGCCCCTCTATTTCAGCCCTGCTCAGAACAGACTGTTTCTGTGTCTGTAACTTTAAATGCAAATAAGCTGTGTCTGACCACACCCCTCTTTGGAAAGGCTTGGGTGACTTTGGCTTTCTGACTCCGTGCCCTGTTGTTTATGATGAAAAGGTGGACTCAGAGGGCAGAACACCTAGCTGTGGAAGTGTCACTCACCTGGGGGAGGGGTTACAATCCTTTGAGAAATCATGAAGGGGAAAATCTCCAAACGGCCTGTTTAAGCACACATTTTCTGAAAAGTGGAGAAGGCAAACAATCAAGCTGCCACCTCCAGTATTTAAAAATGAAGCCCATATGTACATGTTTCTTTTTATTTATTTAATTATATAAATATATGTTTTGTTTAATTGTATGTGTTTTCTCTGTTGTGTCTTGGGATATGAATGTAAATATCTCATGTGATCCTGATATCACTCTCCAAAAGTGTAAACTAAGTTAAATGTTATGGTATTGTTTTGGTTTGTAAAAACTTGTAAGTATGACTCTGTGAGGGAAAGCATGAAACTAATAAAACATAATTCTAATTTTTTATTTTTTATTTTTAATTAAGCCCATATGGAAGTACAAAATCCTGCAGTTTTTTTGAGTGTCTGTTTGAGGCTGGCTGCAGGCTGCAGAAACACTGGAAGTCACATACACATCCGGTCAAAATAGCCAGTTTTTACTACAGAAGTTAACATATTTACAGCCTGGGTCAAAAAACGAAATAGATCTAATTAGCTAATTTCTCTATCAGGACATACTGTACAGGGGGGATGAATTCATTGTTAACTCATCTATTTTGATTTTATGAAGGATAAGCTATATTCAGCATGGCAACAGCCATCGATGGGACTCCAAAGCCTTGATAGCTTTTTTTCAGTGGTAACTGGTATTGAAAAAACACAAGAATTGATTGCCATGAAACTTCTTACAATAATCTTTTGTGATTTTGAGTGCAACATTTGAACAGCTACTAGATAGATTGCTTTCAATTTGGTGACATTTCCAATGTCCCCGACTGAATCAGTTGTAAATAATTAGTTTGCTTATGACTTTGTTCACCATCGACACAACCAACATTATTAGGCCACATTTTCATTTTTCAACACTTACATTTCTGACTAATTATGTTGCTTGTGTTTAAAAAATATGTAATGTGTCTTCTTGCATGAAAAGTAAGCTTAAATAAGTATGATGAAAATGCTAAGGCTATTTCACAAATATTTCCCCATGCTGTTGCAGGAATTGCTCACTTCAAATGAAACATGGTGTTATGTATGACATACTCACATGATCAATGGACACATTTTTTTTTTTTATTTCAATACAAATGAATATACCTTAAAGATATCCCCTTAAACTAGCTTCATGTTGTGGAGAATATTACTATTACTGTTTAATGTTAACCACTGTATATTTGTGTTAATATTGCATATTGTATCTCAAATCAAGTTACGTTCTATATCTAGTTACATGTTTCAATGAAGTAAGTCTTTCTTTAAATCGCTCCTTAAATAAGCTGTTGTTTCTAAATCTTTCTTGATTTGAATCACGGATGTGCTGAGTATTCAGTATCCTGTAGTGAACGCTCAGCCAGTTGCAGCAGAGATGACTACAACTTAAGAACAGTAAAGTTTACTTTCTATCCAACTGCTGACCATGTGACGCTGCCCCATGCATTTCTGCTGTATAAAAGTCAGATCTCACACAGTACCACTCACTTTCATGAGGCGCACACTCGATGTTGTCTGAGGTGAGCTTGGCTCCAACATTTCTACTTACTGCGTCTACTTATTTCTACAATTTACTGCGTCGTTCTTTGTCATTTCAACAGTTATTTTTGACCTTACGTCTAGGGAAACAGGCGTTCGCAATGGGTCCAGAAGTAAGAGCTGCCATCATATTGAATGCCACATTTGTTCGTCCTGCAAAGTTCTATCTCAATGGGTTCACCAACATGCCTCATGAAAAGTATTACTATGTGTTTTTGTGTTTTGTCTACATCATGACTGTTCTGGGGAACGGCCTCCTTCTCACAGTCATTTACCTGGTGGAGGCTCTGCATACTCCTAAATACATGCTGGTGTTTAACCTGGCTTTCGCTGATTTGTGTGGCAGCACTGCTCTCATCCCAAAACTCTTAGAAACATTCTTGTTTAACAAAAGGTACATTGTCTACGAGGCGTGTTTGAGTTATATGTTCTTTGTTTTATTCTTTATAAGTGTGCAGTCATGGACGCTTGTTGCAATGGCATATGACAGATTGATAGCAATTTGTTTTCCTTTAAGGTACCATAGTATTGTGACTAAACCAGCTATTGGCTTAATGCTTCTGTTTTCATGGGTTTTTATGCTCAGTGTAGTAGCATACATGGTTAAGCTTATTGATCGCCTCTCATTCTGTGGATCTTTGGTGGTAAACAGTTATTTCTGCGATCACTCCCCTGTATTCCGACTGGCTTGTAATGACATATCCTTCAGTCACTTCTATGAACTTGTTGCTGCAATGATAATCATCTGGTTGCCTCCTTTATTGATAGCAGTGACATACTTTTGCATTTTCACAGCACTGAGCAGGATAGCGTCAGGAGAGGAACGACTCAAAGCACTGAAAACGTGTTCTTCTCATCTGATCCTTGTGGCTCTTTTCTTCTTTCCTATTATTGGCACCAACATAGCTTCCCAATTCTCTTTTGTCCATCCTAATGCCAGGATTGTAGGCTACACTCTGACAAACACCATACCTGCTCTTCTCAACCCTATCGTTTACGCTTTAAAGACTGAAGAAGTGCTGAACTCTTTAAAAAAGCTTTGCAAAAGAAATAGTATCAACAACACATCCTCATCCAGGAAGGTGAAATCTGTAATGTTGCTGTCCTGATACATCAAGGAGTGTTACAATTAACAACTGTTTGTTACTTTTTACATTCAACATTTTAATAAAAAGTGCTACAAAGATATCTAAGGGGGAAAAGACAATTGTGTTATTTTGTTGTATTTTGCAAAGTTAGCAGACTCAAGGAAATAGTTTCACTACATGTTGTAAGTCATGTGACCTATGCATGGAATTTTAATTTTAATCCATGTCTTGGAGCTTATTAGAATTTAAATATTCAGGATCAAATCATCCTTTAATCTACCTAAACTTTTCATTCTTTTAGTATTGAACGACTCAGGTTTCATTTTAAAAACATTTTTAGCTGATCTTTAAATCATCCAACCTATATTTACTATCTCTAGTCTTTGATTGTATTTTCTTTGTGTAAGACATGGAAGCTGTTTATAAACGGGCTTTCTTTATCTTTCGTTCTCTAAAGTATTATAATCCATGTGGAAAAGGAAACACACCAATATGTGCATAGTTCTCAAAAGTCCCAGCATATAGTCAGAAGTCAAATAAAGATTTGCATGAGTTGAACAGTTGATAAGAAAATATTGAGTATGAAGGCTCAATCAGAACATGGTTTTTGGGTGGATTCCACCATCTAGTGGTTTTGCTTGTATCCTACATGATGGATCCAATTTGTCACACAAACTGGAAAGGTTGCCTACATCAGCAGAGTTAGACAACTTTCTAACATGTCATTAATACGTCACAGTTTGACAGTGTCAGCTATCATTTTGTGTCTGTAATATGGTTACAATTTACACATTGATCAGATATCTGAGTTGTGTGTGTTGCAGTTGACGGTTTTGCCACTCGATGTCACTGTTGTTAAATTACATTAGCTGTAGATAATGGTTGTGTGCTTCAGTAATCAACTAATCATAATGATTTTCACATTTTACTTACCTTATCGTTGCGGTTTCTTAAAAGTGTATCCATGGTAGCGGCAGTAACAGATGTAAAAATACTTTTATTCGGCCGTTAGCCAGCTCGAGTCATTCAGACTTGAGAGGCAAAATTGTAGCAAGCGCTGCATCAAAAATATGGTTTATCACTGATTGGCTGCAGAAAGTGAACACGTCATATCTGCGTCAATGTTTTGGTTAGTTTGGACGTTACGTTCTAACTAGTCAAGATGTACCTTAAGTCTCTGTGGTGCAACCAAACAATGAAACCATAACTTAAGACACAACTTATACAAAGCTGGTCCAACAGATCACAGGACTTTATATTCATTTTATGATAACATCAGAAATATTATTAAGATATGTTATCTCTTGCATTGTGCCAACATTAATAAACCCATCAAGTCTTCACATAAAAGTTTCAACACATCCACTTTGAGCTTCAAGGATATCTTTAGTGCTAGTCAAGAAAAACTCTGTGTACCTCAAAGGTCTTTTAGAATATTTATTTTTTTAGTTATTTTTGTATGCGCAAACTCTTGATCTGAGCAAATCATGTACGTACTTCTGCGTTTGTAAAGAAAACAAATCCTCACAAAGGATTGTGGCAAGTGACGTTTTGATTTCTGTCACTTTTGGCTGACATCTGTCAATAATAGATAAACAGACACATAGTTTCATCACCAGGTACTTCAATTAGAGGGAACCAAACAACATCATAAGAAAGTGAAAGCTTAATTTATTGACGTATAAATCATTATAGTCTTCCCACCTCATGCAGAACAAGAAGGTTCTGAAAAACACATCCCGTTCCTGTGCTTGGGCTTCAGCTGGATGTTGTGATATCAATTGGATGTTGTCATATCAGCTGGATGTTGTGATATCAGCTGGATGTTGTGATATCAGCTGGATGTTGTGATATCAGCTGGATGTTGTGATATCAGCTGGATGTTGTCATATCAGCTGGATGTTGTGATATCAGCTGGCTGCAGACTCAGCTGAAGTGGAGGTTTGCTGCTGCTTCCTCAGCTTTTCTCTCTGTGCATTTTGGAAATTCATCATACAGCTTTTGAAAGTCTGGACCTGGCTCTGGCACACTCTCCAGTCCTGGTGTTCAGCCATGCACTCCTGCACTGCGTAGTGAAGCTCGGCACAGCCGGTGCGGGATATCATCCGTTCAACAGGGTCGTCCTCGTCCTCCTCTTTACGGCTGCGGTCGTGTGGGGAAGGGGACGCCATCCTGTTCCGTGTGAAGCAGTCTGGACATGAGGACAACAAATTAAGTTATAAAGGATTTTAAAAATACCACAGAACAGTCAATTTCTGACTGCCTTATTTTCTAAATCTTTATTAGAAAAAATAAACAGCACATTGTCCCTGTAGTCTCTTAGAAATATTTTAACAATACAACATCACCATGTCTCAATCTTTGACGTTAATATTTTAAATAGAAATGAAACTTTTTGGTACTAAAATTAGAAAAGCAACTGCTTAGATGGCCCTTTGTTTCATTAAAGTTAGATTAAGTCCTTAATAGTTTAATTGATTAAGATAAAATAAATTACTGGGGATGCAATTGAATTGAAAAAAAATGTTATTATTGGCAATGCATGTTATTGCAAATATTGCAAGTTGTGACCTCTATGGTTGTGACACAGTGTCATGACTTTTGCATAGCTTCTGGGTATTCCTACTCATTTGGGACCAAACCTTTAAATCCAGTGTTTCCCAAAGTGGGGGTCGGGACCCCCAGGTGGGTCACCAGCCACCAAGAGGGGGGTCACGAGATGCCTTCCATAAAAAATTTAAAATCATTTAAAAGTGCATCAGAATATCTTTTTACCCATTTTTGTAAATATACTGAAAGTAGTCCAATGTCATAAAAGACAGTATCATCAAGAGAAATTGAAATGAAATGAATGTGTACATATTTTGTAGGTTTTAGGCTGTTGTGTTATTTTGTGTTAGTAGTTTTAGGATAGGTTTATTAGTGTGTGCGTGGCTGTCGCTACGTTATATACCTAACTAACCACCTTCAAGAACAATGGGGGGTCCCCAGTCACCCTTATTTTGGGGGTCACGACCTGAACAGTTTGGGAAGCCTTGTTTTAATCTATCCATTCTACAAAGTTAACATCAGTCTGACATCAGGAGAAATATATTGTAGCCTAATGCAGTCAATACTGTGTAGGTGATATGTAGGTAAACACCATATACTGTAAATATTACAGATAGGTATGGTATAAACTTAAGGGTACTTGTGTACTTTACCTGAGAATTGTCATTTTATTTAAATTAAATGTTTAACTCAAGAGGAAAAATACAATATTCCCACACATAGACAGATATAAAGTTATAATGTTTGTGAATTACAGTTTTAGTTACCCTATAAAGCTTCACAGAGTTTAGCCTTAAATGTAGGCTTAAATACCAAATGGTTTTAACTATAAAGTATGCTACCTATTCGGGGTCATTTAACATCCACAGGTTGTTGTTTTGTTTAAAATGTAGTTATATTTATGTCAAAAGCGACAGCGTGCACTTTGCCCTGATCCAATCCTTCAGAAGAGGTGAAATAACATTATCGAGAATTCACCAAACTAACGCAGATGTTCATTGCCCTCTTACCTTTTTGTTTTCTTTAAGCCAGTTTTCCTCTCAAGACATTGAATTTAAGCTTCCATAACCTGCATTTAAAGCTCTAAACTTTATTTATCCGACAGTGAAAAATACTGTTTTCACGGTGTCACACGGCGGACATATTTCGGCGGGGGACTAGTGCATACATACAACAGTTCCGTCGATGCATTACATCACTTCCGCTCTTTAGTTCTGGGTAGTATGACTTTTATTAGCCTACAGATTATTATTTTTATGCTCGGCCGAAGTAAAAATTGGAGATAGGCTAGTGTAACAACATTTTAGTAGTTCTACTTTTAGTTCTACTTTGTATCTCTTCCTTTACTACATCTCAGCCCTCCATTACTTGTTGTCTTACAGCTTTAGTTACCACTTCTCATGAGGCAGTTTTTTTTTTGTATCTGTCTAAATAAGATCCCTTTACATGATCTAAATCTCATTCTTTGGAGTTTTAATCTTATAATAAATTCATAATATTGCAGAATATGATGGATTTCTGGAGAGTGATCTACCAAAAAGTAGATACAATAATATAAATGATGAAACCCTCAAACATCCCCAGAAAAAGTGCAATTGTCTCATTAATGTTCTTTTTTTAAATTTAGTAAATGTATTAGAAACACTGCCTGAATAGTCAAATGAGTAATAACTACTTGTAGTGTCCAATTCCCATGGTATTAAAACATTGACATCAACCATTTGACTTTTTGTTTCTTTCTTGATTATTGATTACTACTTAGAGAGGAATGAATTATGGCCAGCCTATCAAAAGTATTAGTAGTGTTGGCATATTGCTCATCTTGTTCAAAGAGTTTCTCAAGAGATTTAAAGATGTCCAAATGCTGTGTTAACCATGTGGAGCCGACACGGTAACCCCAATTGTCTCAATCACTCCATATTGAACGTATCACATGTAAGACAAATAGAGGGCAGCACAACATTTAGAGTCCACCTTCTTGAGTGTTAATGTCCTGTATGATGTTCTGCCATACACGTTTGCAAAAAATCTTCCGAAAGAAAAAAAGACAAAGTCGGTGCTGCAGTTAAGTCTCATTTGTTTTTATTTTTTAACAATTTAACATTGAGATTCAAAAACATGAAAAGACTCAAACTGTAAAAGAGTTTAACACGGTACTACATCCTATTAAGTCTTATATGATTTGATATTATAAGATAGCAGACAGATAGCAGGTAAAATAACATCACCGAGCAGTTCAAACATCATGGCACACACACGCACACACACACACACACACACACACACACACACACACACACACACACACACACACACACACACACACACACACAAACAAACACAAAGCTGTGGACACAATTGACCTGAACGAAAATAACCAGATTTGACGTAACAATAGCATTACTAGTGATATTATTATTTACAGATTTTGTAGCACATGGTGACCTCACATGAACAGTGATTTACCTCTTTGGGTTAAGTTATATGGGAGCATATAGATGGGAAACAGACTTCCACACAACAACTATCAAAGTGCCTAACCTTGAATCCTGTTAAATTGATGTAAGTTAAAAAAAAAAAAAAAACACTGGGATTTTAATTCTCAGAGTCCACAGTGTTTTTTTCTTTTAACACAATACAAACATTTAGCGCCGTAATTTCATTGATGTGTCATTAATCCTCAAATTTTTGCTCTTGTGGTCTGTGCCAATTCTTTTGTTTTTTACTAGTGCCAGGAATCTTACTTTAATCTCTTTGGTTTTCAAAGAATATACAATAGGATTGATGCAGGGTGGGAGACAAGATGCCAGAGACAGACTCAGCACACGCTGGTCCGGGTCAATGAGACGCATGTAAAACCCAATAGTAAAAATGGTAATGAGAGGAATGTAAAATACTGCAACAAGAATTAGATGCTCAATACAAGTCGCCAAAGCTTTAACTCGATTGTCTAAAGATTTCATCCTGAACACAGTCCCCAGGATGCTGACGTAAGACAGAATTATGAAAGTAAAGGGTCCCACAAGTAACAGGATGGCGAGCAAAGAGGCCACAGTCCACTGCATTGAGAAATCATTACAAGCAAGTCGGAACACAGGCGCATAGTCACAGAAGTAGCTGAACACTTGGACAGATTTGCAAAAAGACAGTTCTGTCATTATAACTACTGCAAACATAGTGGTTCCCAAACCTAAAGCCCAAGTCATGCCCAAAATATAAGACATGCTCCGCAGTGTGTTAATGGAGCTATGACGCAAAGGGAAACAAATTGCGATCAACCTGTCGTAGGCAAGAACAGCAAGCGCATATGACTCCAAAGTCGCAAAAGCATAGTAGAAAAACATTTGCACGAGACACAAGTTGTATGGAATGAAATTGTCCTTAACCAGGAATATCTTTATCATGCTGGGAATCGTACACGTGTTAAGAATCACATCAACTACTGCCAGGTTAGCTACTGCCAAAAATTTTGGAGTGTGTAAATAATGGTCAAAAGCAATTATACAGATCACCAAGCTGTTGAAGAGCAATGTCACAGCATAAACAAACACCAGAAAGATGAAGTAGACACTGATAAAGGGAAATGTCTCAAATCCAACTATGTAAAAGCCTGGAGGATGAACAATGACAGATTCGTTAAAGACAGTCCTGAGAGAGGACATAGCTGGACTTCACAGCCTGTGTGTTGAAGGACAGCTTCTCGTCTGCAATGTTGAAAGAGGTTTGCAGTTTTAATCACGATACATTTAACAGAAAAATTCAAATGCCCGTTATATATTTCACTCTGATAAAACAGTAAACCAAACAGAATGCATACAATCTTCCCCCAGTATGTTGAATTAAAGTCAGAGAATGCAGCTTACCTGATCCCCTGTTTTCTCTAAATTGTTTAGCACTTATTCATGATGCTGTCTCTTAGAGCAGCATGCAGATAGCTGCTTGTCTGATTTATGGACTCTGATAATATAGTCTCATGATTGATCTCCGGAGATCAATAAGGAGGCAATTTTCAAAAGAATCTCATGTAGTCACTCATGTGCAGTGATATTAATTTGACCCTTGGAGAGAAGAGCTGTATAGGGTGTTTTGTTTTGTTCTTTTCAAATAAACTTGTCTACATTCAAAATGAAAATTATAATTTTGTTCAACCAATAACTTTTTATTTAACTTTTTTTAAATTCAAGGAAAAAATGAATACGCATAGACTAGAAAAGAGCCATGGATAAAAGCATTTACATTAATTATAATATTACATTTCACAGTAAATGTGAAATAATTACAATTTGCTTTTTTGCTTTAGTGTGTGTAGATTAATAACTGATTGTTTTAACCATTCTGTAATATTATGACTTATCTGCAATATTTGTTACTGAATGAACAATGTTGGCTCAGTAATACCATTTGATAGCTGCTCAAAAAAAATCAGTATCAATTCAAATCTTAACATTACTGTATTGTCTTTTTTATCCTACTACAATTTTAAATATTTTCCTCTTATGTATTTATTTTAATATCTTGTTGCTTTTATGTGTCGTATTTTCTTTTCTTTTCTTTTTATACATATCTTTAATTCTTATTTGTGTGCATTAGTCTCTCAATGATTTTATCAATGATTTTATAAACTACTTTTTGTCAATAACTTTTCTGCACTCTTTTTAAGTACTTTGAACTGCAATTTAATTTGTCTGAAAGGTGCTATATAAATAAAGTTTGATTGATTGATTGCTTGATTGCTTGATTGATTGATTGATAGGTAAATATTTTAATTACAGTATACAGTAATGAGGAATGTCACGGGTAAACCCATCAGTTACATTTTTTCTTATGCATTACATTTGGAAAAACTGTAACCTGTAAGACATTTGGTAATTTTGAAACACATTTGATTCTTTCGATGACACATTTATTTTTATACTTTCACCATAAAATTCCACTAAATATTTAAATGTGACAGAGGGGAAGATGATACGTTGTTTTGTCATCACTTTTCTCTTTAAGGTTAGAAACCTTTCGTCCATTTTCTTTCGGCTCACCATAACCTGTTTAAAGTTAAATACCTCTTTTTGGTTATACAACAGATGAGTTATGTGTTTCTAGAGTGTTTCATAAATGTTTAAAATCTGTACTTCTTTGCAGGACTATCCACAGTTGAATACCCTTCAATTAAAACAGTCAAGTGAGTACTATTGTCTTGTTAACTGAAGCCGATAAGGTTTCTTAAAGGCCTGTGAGACCTGAAAACCATCAAAGTGAGTGTTATTACTGGACTTTTATTCTTGAGTGTAAACGAGGAGATTTATACTGTAATAATTGTTAGGTATGGCTGCGGTATACTGACCTGCAAGATGTATAAAAAAAATCCTCCTGCTACCCGTTCATTTAACACTCCTGAAACTGAGTTACAACTTGTCTGTTGCGTAATGTCCCAGAGGATACATTTATCATTAAACACGTCATAGTGAACCAAAACAAAATGTTTTTTAATGGGCCCAGTTTGTGAAGCCATCACCAGAGAATTTTGGTTAATGACCTTGACTTCAACAAACAAACCATTAACTGCTTAACTTTCAGACTAATTATTCTCAGATGCCCCTGTTAGGAAGAGAACAGTTAACAATGAAGAGGAATAAACAAACAGTAGATTTATGTTATTCATTATTTTTGTGTTATTGTTGTTTCAGTCAAATAACACCTGATGGTGGTTACCTGAAATCTCTTTGTTTAATGAAAAGGCATGTGTAAGCTCTTACATACTTGTCCTGCTATGTTTTTTAAAATACTTTTCCACACTGACTTATATTAAGAAGTTTAAAAACTATAGGTTTCTATTTGTTTTCTTTTCTCAAAACAAATAGTTTTCTTTTCTCTTCTTCTGAAGCCAGGCTTTAATTACAAGCCTCATTTGCATATAAGTTATTCCTCTTCATTAAATTTTATTGGCACTATACTTTAAGCAGCACAAATGTTTCTGTTTAAGCAGATGATAATCATTAATTTTACATTTGTTATAATTGTTATATCTAAACAAGTGGTTTGAATGTATTAAGGGTTTACTTGTGTTCCCATGATAGTCAATTATTGTGAATGCGTGGGACTCTAACAAAAATACATGTGTAGACATACTTTTGTGAGAGACAAAATTCCCTTTTCAAGCACAGGAACTTTCCCCCAGAACTAGGGACCTTTTAAGGAACGATAGACCCTTTTTCAACTGGAAGAACTTCCCCAGGAACTAGGATCCTTTTGAGGAAATATGTGTATATTGAACACAGGATTTGATTCCAGATTAGATTTGTGATATTTTTTATTCCTTTGTTTTTTAAGTCATGCTTTAATCTGTAATAGTGTGTTTTGTACCTCTTCATTACTGTAACAGCCAGACTTTGATTACAAATAAAGGTGTGGGGAAAAACAATGGGCTTGCAGCTTCAGTCTTTTAAACGCAGTGGGTGAAGAACTAAATTTAGACCCTGTTTCCTGCGGATAGTTCCTCAAAAGGTCTTTATTTCTAGGGGAAAGTTCCTGCGGCTGAAAAGACTATAGTTGTTTAAAACTGTCCTGGGAAAGGTCACAGTTGAACCTGAACTGTGGCTTCTGTGTCTTTGGTACATTAAAGTCCAGTCTGAAAAAAAAGAGAGAACTTAATGACCATTAATTACTATCTAATCTACCTGAAAGGCTCTTTAAGTCAAAGACTAGTCCGAAAACACTTTTCCAATGTAAGCCAGAAAGCCCAACATGATTGTTTGGCTGAAGTTTTTTTTTAAAAAGATGCATGGATAAGTCTTGTTATATCTGCAGCTGCTACACAGCTTGACATAAAGGCTGACCCTGAGGTCCTGAGTCTTAAAATATATGATAAAATGTCTTGTATGTCTAAAGGAAGTTGAGTTGTAGTTAGTGCCAAGAGACAACAAAAAAATCAGAAATGAAAAGGAGGTAAAGCCACTCTGAACTCTCAGTCTGTCAAATACCTCTTGACATTACACATCTTCTTTAAGATATCTGATTAATTGAAATACTCAGGCCCAGAGTGTAAAAACATCCCAGAATGAAAACCAGGCATGATTAATGCATCGATTGATTCATCTAACAGGACTTCCTGCTGCATCTGTCAGCTCAAAATGACAGTGTTCAGCCGCAGGAACTTTTCCCCTAGAATGTTTAAGACTTCATCATCAACACATAACAAACAAACCGTTTACTGTTAACGCCAACATTTTTGCCAAGAAGACCTCTTCTGAACCTACAACTCAAGTTTCTTTTGACAATTAACCCATTTATGTTTTCAGGCTTGATTATATCTTGAAAGAACTTTATCTCACAAGTCGGTGGTTGACTGATGATAAATGCTGTGTGTAATGTCACAATGGTAGACTCACAATCTTATGAGCGTACTCTGGAAGAAAGGTTGGTATCTGGTATTTCACAATAAAAATACACCTCTAAGTGACTGACCCTGTTTCATATTGGGTAACATTAAAAACTCAACACGTAATGATAACGTAATGATAATGGGTCAACACGTAATGATTGGTTTGATAGGGCGATTTCACTCGTAAAAAATGTTAATTTTATATTATTAAAGATATAACCTTGTGGAGTGACTTTTTTACAAGTTGCGCTGACGATGATTCATTTTCCCTGAGAGAGCTTTTGTCATCAAACAGGACGCAGTGACCCCAAACAAAAGGATTCTCTCTCTACTCTCTGACTCCTGGGAGCCCTGCTAATGAGCCCTATTTGTGATGTCATTACCAAAAGGATGCTGGTTAATGAGTGCCTGACTGCAACAAACAAACCTTTCACTGTTCAGGCTTAAGCCTAATTAATCTCATATGCATCCATTAGGGGGTTATTGCGAACTTGCAATTAAAACTATAATAGGAAGGGGTGTTCACTAATGTTACTGAGTCATTAGTGTGCTTGAGAGCCTCCATTAAACCCCCTAATTGTCTAATAGTAGCCTTTTTCCTCTAAAGGGCTACACATGATAGGCCTGCATTCATGACCCTTACACACCATTGATTATCTTTCAGAATGGCCTTTCTGTAATAAGCAGACTTAGTGCAACAAACTGTAGGTACCGATTTTTTGTCTCAATAGCTTCTTGCTGAGCTGGAAGTGACCACAAACGATGTACTGCAGCAGAACCTTAAAAATATAACATATTTTGTCTGGAAAGCTAGAAAGACATCTTCCATTAAAAAAAAAAAAAATCTATATCTACAGAGTCACCTTCACCCTGTTTGTGACACCTTTTGATGTTGGATTTGGATGACAGGGTTAATCAGCACTGTTATATCATATCCCCCTTTATAGGTCTCCTTGATAAGGTACACACTGATGCACAACTTCTGTCTGTTCGTACACATGGAAACATATTTGAAACAAAAATAGAAATGAAGTGAGTTTAAAAAAAAAAAAAAAAAACATCATGCTGTATATAAAGAAACACTTGGAGCTAGTGATTGAGACCACGATGGGTTATATGTGTCAAAACACTTTTGTTGCATTAACAGGCAGGGTATACAAATGAAACCATGAAAGATATTTGTGCTATAAGAAAAGAGTTTGGCAATCCAATAGTTTTTTCCAAACTCATCTTAAAGTTCTAACAAAGCTTTGGACGAACAATTGTGAAAAAAAAAAAAGAACAGGG